CACTTTATTCCCCAATCTAGATTCTAATTAATTTCCTTGTTTATCTTGTCACATACGGCCCATTTTTCCATCATGAAGCCTGGGTAATCTCTTAAAATATAGATTTGTTTCTGCATAGCAGGTCCTCTAATAACATCATGTCATTCAATGTGCCTTCCTTATAATGTTGATGAGATGCCACAGAAACTTCACTTGTTTTTACCAATTAGCCTGTGATAAAGTTGGTTTTGTTATACCACATTGTTTTGCTTAAAGTTGCAGAACCTATAACAATGTTAAGTGAGGATTTACACTATTCCACTGATTTTAAACTCTAGTAGCTTCTTAACTACATTTAAAATAAAATTCAAACTCCCACCTTAACTTTTACCATTCTCAAACTCTGACTGTGTTCAAACTTCACTGGCCTTTTTTCTGTCCTTCAGATACAACATGTTGTTCTTAGTTTAGGACCTTTGTATTTATTACATGCTGCCTGGAATATTCTGTCAAGAACTGCCTTTACTATTGAGGGCTTAATATGTCACATCTTTGGTGATGTCTGTCCATCAAATCTAAAACACCCATCCCCTCATTAAAAAGAAAAAAATCTGTTTTATTGTCTTGATAGCATTTATCATCATCCAAAATTATCTCATGTTGCCCAGAAAGATTAGATTTTTTTTTTTAAAGAATTTTAAGGATTTTGTTTATTTATTTTTAGAGAGGGGGAAAAGAAAGAGGAAGAGAAACGTCACTGTATGGTTGCCTCTCTCATACTTCCCTACTGGGGACTTGGCCCACAACCCAGACATGTGCCCTGACTGGGACTCGAACCCAAGACCCTTTGGTTCACAGGTCCGCACTCAATCTGCTGAGCCCTACCAGCCAGGGCAGATTTTGGTATTTGTAAAACATAGATTTATACATTTTGTTCCACACTGTTAGCAACGAAAACTCATATTCAAAACAATTATGTAATTTCTTCCAAATCCCAGATGATAGAGCCTTATGGACACAACTTCCTTTAAAAGTATGAGCTACTCAAGGGCTAAGCCAGTATTTAATTTATCTCTCTGTTTCTAGTACCTAGCGCAGTTGAGTGCTCAGAGTGAATTTGTCTTGCTTTCGTGTAGTAGAGTCTGTGTGACTTGGCAGGTGATGAACGCTTCTATGTGATTAATGAAAAATCTAGTTTTTCTTGACTTAGTTTTTTTTTTTAATGTTTCTAGGAGCTTGAAATTGTCATTGGAGATGAACACATTTCTTTCACAACATCAAAAATTGGTTCCCTTATTGATGTCAATCAATCCAAGTAAGTGTACATGATCCTTACATCCAGATGTGTCTGTTTGGCAGCAGGCTGATAGGAAACCCTTAACCAGACTGGGGCCATTATGTTAAGACCTCGTACACACACGAGGCAGAAGGGGTCTGCTTTGTCCCTCTCACTGCAGAGCGACTTGGTTATTTGGAGGGCTTGCTCCTAGTGCTTTTGGTGTTTTATGTAATTATTACTAATAAGAGCTTCTCAGGGACACGTAGAGTAATGCCATAGGAGCAGTCAGAGAGAGTAACAGTCCGTCCACAAGAGGAACATGAAATATGTCAATACAAGTGCTTGAGATAATACTGTAGAGTCACAGTCATTCAGACTGGCACATCTTTAAGTCTGACTTGGTGAAATTTGAAGTTATTTAGAATGCAAATTTAAAAATTCAGGTTGTCAGTTGGGCAAATTATAAAGTTGAAACATGGATCTGTGCTGTAGAGTCCTCAGAATTTGACAGCCTCTTTGGCTCTTGGATTTTGAGGGTGTGAGATTAGATGTAGCTCACTTTTTGTACATGGTGGACATAATTATCTTCCTTTGAACAGTCTCTTTGCTCTTAGCTGCTTCTTCAGCCTCTTGGTCCTGATTAGGACCACTTCTTTAAAAAAATTTTTTCCGAGTGCCACTACCACCGCTCCGCCCTGGCCCTTGCTCTTCCTTGCTCTTCCCTCTTTTCCCCGCTCTTTCCCTCGCACGTGCATGCGCTGAGGAAGGCCATGCGAGCACGCGGCGAGTTGGTAGCTGTCTACGAGCCAGGAAGCAGGCCCTCGCCAGAACCCACCCATTCTGGCACCCTGATCTCTAACTTCCAGGCTCCAGAATTATGAGAAAATAAATTTCTGATGTTCAACCCAGCCAGTCTTTGGTATTTTGTTGTGGCAGCCTGAGCAGAGTAAGGAAGGCACTGCAAAGATCTTTGGGAGACCAAACAACCCATAGTGACTGAACTTGAGATAACCAATAAAAGTATTTTCCAAACTACATTCTGGTAAATAGTAGATATAGGGGATATTAATAAGCCTTTCTAAGCAATAAAAAGTATCCTATGGTGAACAAAATTTTTTCTTGAAGGTAAATCATAAAAGCATATTAAAGACTTTTTTTAAAGATTTTGTTATTTTTAGAGAGAGTGGAAGGGAGGAAGACAGAGAGAGCGGGAAACATCGATGTGTGAGAAAAGCATTGATCGGGTGCCTCTTATATGTCACCAACTGGGGACCTGGCCCACAACCCAGGCATGTGCCCTGACTGGGAATCAAACTGGCAACTTTTTGGCTTGCAGGCCGGAGCTCAATCCATTGAGCCCTATCAGCCAGGGCAGGATATATAGTTCTTTAAAACACAAAAAAATACCATTTAGATCAACAATATGTGATTTCAATGAACTTTTTTCACTTAATATAAGCATTTCCCCATTTTAAAAAAGTTAATATTTTAAATGACTTCATAATATCCTATTTTAATATATAGCATATAGCCATTTCCTCCTTTTTGGACATTTCTCAAAGCTTTAATTCTGTAAATACCTTTATGATAATACCTTGGTATATAATCTGGGTTATTAAATGGTAATATCTTGCCAGTTTTTCTCAGCTTTTTAAGTATTTTTTTCCTTTGCATTTTAGGGACCCAGAAGGCTTACGAGTATTTTATTATCTTGTCCAGGACCTGAAGTGTTTGGTCTTCAGTCTTATTGGATTACACTTCAAGATTAAACCAATCTAGGTTGAATGCTGGTGTGGACCCGAGGGGGTGGGCGGAGCTGTTTTTTCATTACCATTGTCAGGACATTTTTGTGTATATGAAGCCAATATTTTTTTATAAACTATAAATGATGCCTCTAATAAATATGTAACAAAAAGCAATTTTATCATTTTTTAAAGATCTGAATGTGTGAATTCTTCTCAATTACTTTTTGAAACTGTTAACATACAATGTGAAGCATTGCCCCAGAATCTGATTGAATCAACTCTGTAGATACGACTACTAATTCACAGAAAATAAAATAGAGAAATGTTAAAAAGTACAGTGGGAGTCTAAACAACAATATTCAGAAAAAACTCTAGGGCAAGGGATCTGGTTTCTTCAATAAGTAAATTGCAAACATAAAGTAGAGATGGAGCAGGAACCTGTAGTTTAAAGATTTAAGAGACATGTAATATTTGGATCTCATTTGGGTCATGATTCAAAAATTTAAAATTGACATGGAAATTTGAACACTAGATATTCAATATTAGTGAAATAGTTGTTTATTTTTTATTTTTTTTTAAAGATTTTATTTATTTATTTTTAGAGAGGGAAGGGAGGGAGAGAGAGAAGCATCAATGTGCGGTTCCTGGGGGCCATGGCTTGCAACCCAGGCATGTGCCCTGATCTGGGAATCGAACCTGCGATATTTTGGTTCGCAGCCCAGCCTGCGCTCAATCCACTGAGCTACGCCAGCCAGGGCTAGTTGTTTATTTTTTGGATGTAAAATGGTATTAAGTCTTTTTTTCTCTGTCCAGCTTTATTGAGATGTAGTTGAGGTTGGGTTTTAAAAATCGTCTTTTATAGATATAGTTATTTCAGCATAGGGAAAAATAATAAGAGGGATAAAATGCCTAGTCTCAGTAAAGTTTTCCAATACAGTTTAAGATCAATACCAACAGCCATTAAGATCTGAGACCTAGTGGGTACAGATAGTGTGGGAATTTGTTATGCAAGTAGACCTGTAGGAACTTTTTCTTGCTAAATTCCTCAGTGAGGCAAATTGCTGGTTGAACAGATTGTTGGCACTGAAAGGAGCCGGACCTGAGTAAGTCATTTGGCTGAGGGGAAGTGATTGGGCAAAGCTCCATCCCTCAAGACGGGCCAACTTCAGACAAGATCCCAGGTCTTCTGACTCCTAGGCCAGTGCTCCCACTGCTCCCAGCACATACACCTCCTCTGCCTTCTTCAAGGACACCAGGGCAGCAGGTTAGTGTAAGGTTTTTTTAGACCCCGCCGAGGAAATAAACAGCCAATTAGCCATGGAAACAGGCAGATGAGCTTTATTTTGGAAGTTTGTGCTCCCGGGTGACGTTTTCCCCGCCTGGAGAAGGGGCTAAGAAAAGACCGCGCGGGAGAAGGGAAAGGCTGGGAGTTTCATACGGCCGGACTTCGTGCCGGAGCTAAGGATTGGTTCTTGGTGAACAAAGAAGCAATTTAGCATTGGTGGCACCTGGTCTGATGTCAGTCACCTCTTCTGGGTCAGAGTTCAGTTGCCACATTACTTGTAGTCCAAACGGTGGCCATATTTGTAGTCCAAAATGCTAATTGTAACTAGATTCCCACTTGTCCTACCCTGCCCATCCTGACAGTTAGGTGCCCATCTGGGACCTCTGACTAAAGTAGGGTACTTGGGGCAATGAGGCAAGTCGGTGGTAAAGTAGGTATCAAAAACAGTCATTCCAAATGTTAAAGAAATGAGAGTAAGGAGCTCAGAAGGCTATGAGTCTCAAATGGGCTGTTCCTTGTAAAGTGCGCAGCTCCTGGAAGGTCTCAGATGTACCTTGGACAAAAGGGCTGGTAAAAAAAAGTCCAGTAAATGTACAAGGATAAACACTGGGAGCCCAGACAAGAGCTAGATGATAGGAGTGTCCAGTCTTGGGGACCACAATAAAGACGAGTGCACGCGGCAACCCCCTGAAAGGTCCTGAGGGGGAAAAGAGGAAGGAGCAGTTTCAAGAAAAAGACCCCATCCCTCAAATTTGTGAAGCTGGCCCTGGTTAGAGAAGCCACGTGATCTGAGAAGCCTCGGCGGGCCGTTGGGTAAGGGCAGGCGGGGCGGTGAAGAGCCAGAAAAGAGAGCTGCGGGGCGGGATGAAGTGTGCTGCGGTACCCCTGGGCGGGCTTAGTGCTGGTATGAGACCTGAGCTCAGTAAACATCTCGAATTACTTATTATTGGAGGCTGGTTTACTGCGAACTCAGACAACAGTTTCCTCCACCTACCGCCAAGGGGGGAAAAAAAAAAGTCTGCGCCGGAAAGACCTGCGCGCAGAGACCCGCCCCCACGCCCTCCCGACAAACGCCCGCGGCCTGCCCCGGGGTGAGCAGGCGGTACCCTCCCTTCTCCATTTACGACAGGTCGTAAAGTAGCGACCGCAAGCAGCACCGGACTGAGCCAGGCCACTATGGGGGTGAGACGGAGGTGAACCGCTGCCAGGGCAGTGGGGCAGGACTGGGATGTGGGCGCTCGCGCCCGGAGAGAATGGGGGGAGTGGGTTCACACTGAAAGGAGAAAGGCATCACTCGTCCTGGGATGGGCGGGGCTGGGGGGGTTAGGCGTGGGGCTACGCAGGCGTGTTTAATGCAGTTGCTTTGGCCCTCCCTCTTAGAAAATCGCGCTGCAGCTCAAAGCCACGCTGGAAAACGTCACTAATCTCCGGCCTGTGGGGGAGGACTTCCGGTGGTACCTAAAGGTGAGGTTGCAGGGGCGGGGCCCCTTTTACGTGGAGAGGGCGGAGCACCGAGAGGCTGTGGGCTTTTCGAGGTCCCAGGAGTGGACGCCAGGGGTCGGGTCCCAGAACAGGATCGATGTTGAACAGGGGCTTTCTGTCCCGCTAGATTAAAAGTATTTGACCATTAAATGTACCATATTTTAAAAAATGGGTAGAATCTTATGTTTGCTTTTTAAATATGTTTGCTTTTTAAAGTTTATTGGTTAATTGGCAATGTCTTGGAATTCCTTTTGTAATTTTTGTCTCCGTTAAATATAGTATGTAAAGAAGTGCTAAATGAAAGACTACTTGAAGGTATATTGTGATTATTCAGCAAGGAGACTAATTCACCTGTTTCATTTGTTGATTGGTTTTACTGTGAGATCGTTTGATTCTGTGCATGGCTCCACCCTCACCTCCCACCCCATACTGGTAAATCGGGGGCTACCCCCGTGGCATGGTCTACAGAGGCCCCCCTCTTTCCCTAGCAGTTTGAGGCCTTTTGCGCTCCCAAATCCTAGAGCTTCTGCTCTGTTTCCTTCTAGTCTAAAACACGGCATCCTTTAGTACCTGGCAAAAGCCTTTTCTCTTTCAGAAAGCCTCCGACCACCTTGAATTCCCTATATTTTGAAGCCCAGGTGCAGGGCTTACTTGGGGAATTGATGTTCTTTGGTTTTGAAAAGGATAGAGTCTAGGGAAGAAGAAAAAGAAATAGAGTAACTTAGATCAGGAACCTACAGGGAGGGCCTGTAGGAACACAGAGGAAGCTCCTAACCTAGTGGGGGGGGGGGGGCGGTCTTTTGAGACCATTTCTGTTCCACATGAGCCTTGAATTCCCAGCTAGACTGGGCACTTCTCAGAGGAGGTTGGGGACACCCGCAGGAGAGGCACCTTGGCCTATTCCTCACCCAGAGGTAAGTCTGGTTATGTTCTTGGTGGAGCTGGTTGTGAGGATGAGGTGAGATTGCTGACAGGAAGGTAGGTTATGAGCCTGCCTTCTTACCCTTCCCTCAGTGTCTGCCCAGCTGAACTCACTACTTTACTAATACTTTTTTCTCCCCCAAGATGAAATGTGGCAACTGTGGTGAGATTTCAGAGAAGTGGCAATACATTCGGCTGATGGTAACTGCTCCCCCACTTTACTGTACCTACCCCCTGCACACACACCTCTAGGCAGGGACTTGGGGAATCTGTGACCATAACCTCTCTGGCCTTTGGACCTTGCTTTTTGTGGTTTGGGAGGGCAGGCATTAGTGTGTTCAACAGTGGGAACATCAGGCTGCTTTGGGATGTGAGGCAGAGTTCAAAATCAAGGGGAAGCCCTTGGTCTCAAGAAGCCACCACAGGATTCTTGTCATAACAAGTCGCTTACCCTCTCTGGGTCCTGGTCTCTTCAATTGGATAGTAATTCGTGGGACTGAATCTCTTCAGGACCCTACGTCTGATATGTGACTGGAGGTTCTGTTTACTCCTTGCTAGGACAGTGTGGCACTAAAGGGAGGCCGAGGCAGCGCTTCCATGGTCCAGAAGTGCAAGCTGTGCGCGAGGGAAAACTCCATTGGTAGGTCAGGCCATGAATGCTGAGTTCTGCCAGGCTAGCCCCTAGCTTCCTGACACCAGACCAAAAGCAGGCACGTGTTAACCCAAGGTACTCAAGCTTCTGCAGCAGACTTTTTCCAAGAGCCACATCTGGGGACCTGGGGTAGGGCCATGGTATGGACTCAAGTCAGCTTTGTTCTGTTTTTTGTTTCAGAGATTTTGAGCAGCTCCATCAGATCTTATAATGTAAGTCACTTGCTGTAGTGGCAGGCATGGTGGGATTAAATCCAGCTGGGAGCTACAGTTACAAGTGCTGGGCTGTGGGAGCTCAGGGGACCTCTGACCCAACCTGGCCACTCAGTTTCCATCACTGGCAGCACTTACTTTATCAGCATCTTAGAGGGCCTGGTGAGCCTCCTCTGAAACCGTGGGTGGGACAGCCCTTTGCATGGTACGTCCCATCCTTGAAATTGTCCGTGTTATTAGGTTACTTTACAACAAATGAGTCCAAAGGTGAGGGAGGGTGTGTGTGCTTTGGGTCTGTTTTTAAAGAAGGGCATTTAATTTATATTTATCCATTCCTTATTTGTTGGATTTATGCCCAATTGTCGGTTTTATCCTTATGTCAAAGAGAAATCAAATGAGGACTTGCCCTCAAGTAAATCATAATCTAGTGGAAGAGACAGACTAGCAAACGAGAAACAAACCAGGGCCAACAGAGAAGTGCCAGGCACGTGGCTGGTGTACAGCAAATGATTTTACAGTGAATGGCAGTGAATGTGTGGGAATGGCGTGGGTGGTCAGGCAGGCAAGAATTTCCTGGCTATCCCGCCCTGCCTATAGGTGCCCCCCTCTGTTAGCAGATCTCATTTCAAAGTCTTTATGTCAGCCCACTGCCTTCACAGCACAGCTGATGGTTAGCGAAAGGCTGCAGCTAAGTGTACTGGGGCCATTTGAATGATGTGGAGAGTCTGTAGCTTAACATTCGTGTTCATATTTGTGATGCTGGTAATTTTATCTGCCATTTACTGAGCATAGTGTGGGTACTCCGCTGGGCACCTGACCCATGATTCAAATTCTCGCAGTAAACCCATAGTGGTTTCCTCGGCTCTGTTTGGTAGTCTCAGGCCCAGAGGGGAAGAAGGGCACAACTTGACTCATGTCTAGGGAGGCTGACCCCAGACTCCACACACTTTGTTCTGTAGCATCCATGCCGAAGGTCTCACGGGGAGCAGGTGGCTAAGGCAGCTTCTTCCAGAATGAGATGAGTTGGTCTCCAGTCCCATTCTAGGCTCACAGGAGCAGTATGAACCTGCTTGGCAGAAAGGGTAGGGGCAGTGGGGTTATCCCGAGGGCCCAGTTGGGCCTGCCTTCTCAACATACTTCCTTTCCAGACTGAAGACAATGAGAAGTTCAAGACGATAGTAGAGTTTGAGTGTCGGGGCCTTGAACCAGTTGACTTCCAGCCACAGGTATGCGTGTCTTCCTGGGGAACATCTAGAAGTGCCGGCATAACTTTGCTTCTTGCAGAGGACATGGACTAGGAATTCTCCTTTCTAAAAGTAGTAATAATCATTGTTTATTACATGCCTATTATATGTGAGGCACTGTGCTAGTCACTTATGTTATTTAACCCTTACAGTGACCCTGTGAAGTTATTCATACTTCAAAGATTTTGCAGCTTGCCCAGGGTGGCACAGTTAGTAAGCAGTGGAGCTCTAATTTGAGCCCAGGTCTAGGTAACCCCCGGGCCAGTGCTCATCCCACTTTATTGGGGCAGCATTTCACCTCACAGCAAGTCTGTGAGGTGGGCAGAGAGAGTATTGTCATTCCCATTTCATAAATAAGAAAACTAAGGTCCAGAGAAGGAAGTGGCATGCCCAGATGACAGGTAGTCAGCAAAAGGCTTCAGCTAAGTGCTCCAGGCCCACCTGGAGCATGTAGAGATGCTGTAGCTTAGACTGTCTTTCAGACAATTGGGGGAAGTGGAAGGGTTTACCCTTATCTCCTGCCTTCTGGTCCAGGGCTCTAATTGGAGGAACCATTCTATTCCCAGGGCAGCTGCCAGGCCCCGGGAACTCAGGAGTTGTTTCAGAATGGCTGCCAACACTGCACTTCTGTCCTCCCTTCCCAAAGGTGTTGCGAGAAAAGCCAAATCCCTGGCCATGCTCACGTGCCAGGCCAGTGCCTCCTTTCCCGCAGACTAACTGCTGCCTTCCTGTCCTTGCAGGCTGGGTTTGCTGCTGAGGGTGTGGAATCGGGGACAGTCTTCGGTGACATTAATCTGCAGGAGAAGGTACGGAACTCAGGGGCCTTGCAGGGTGCTGTAGAACACCTGGTGGAAACTGCCTTTCTTGGTGAACAAGGCGCATCTCTGTGCATTTTATTGATGGTTTTGGTGTTTAAGGTGGCCCCCAGTATAATGCCGAGTTCTCTCTAGTGTTCCACATTCAAGAACGCTAGGATGTGCTTGCTGGAGAAAGTATACATTAGATGAGCTTTATTCAGGCATGAGTTATAGTACTGTTGGCTGTGAGTTCAGTTTTGATGAATCAACATATTAAAAAGGTGTTTTTAAATAGAATCATACATGAAACAAGGTTATGTATTGATTGGTTGAAGAACATGTTGTGATCAGATACTCCCGGGAACCTAACCCTGTGTTTTTCCTGGGAACATTGGCTGATTATTCACTAATTCAGTGTTTGTGGTGACTTTGTAGAACATAATTGGCACAAATAATGAGAATCGACTGTATTACTGGACGTGGTACTGCTTTGCAGATAAGGAACCTTGTGTTCAGGCCTCAAAAGGAGACAAACTTCATTGGATTGGCATAGCACGTAACAACAGCAATAACGGGAATCTGTTGAGCTCTTACGTGTACCCGGCACTATGCTAGGTACTTTTACATGTGTTAAGTCATTTGATTCTTTCAACAAGTCTTTTGTTGTCCCTTAAAAAAAAAAAAACAGCATTGAGGACCAGAATGGATGGGTGATTTCCTCAAATCACAAAGCTAGAAGAGCCGGAATTCAGGCCTGAGCAGTGTGGCTGTGTTCTAGGTCATGTGTGTTCCTGAATATCCGAGTCAGAGCCCAGACTGGGCCTGGTAAGACCCAGTTCTCCATCCACTGTCCTTGCTGCCCTGGGAGGCTAACACTGCCACTTTTTCCCCCTGCAGGACTGGACTGACTATGATGAAAAGGCTCAGGAGTCTGTGGGAATTTATGAGGTCGCCCACCAGTTTGTGAAGTGCTGACCTCTCCACCTTCACACTTGCCTCTAAGAACTGAGAAGGGACGATGCGCCCCACACAGCAGAGCCCACCGAGGCTGGTACCCTCATCCCTCGACTCCTGGCAGCTGTCCAAGCCCTCACCGTCTGCATGCAGGGCTGTGTCACAGCGTCCCAAGCCCCACCAATAAAGCCCGTTTGTGCTGTACTCATGCATGAAGGTGGCGTCAGGGAGCAGCCACTCCCTCCACAAATAAGAATTCATGTTGGATGTCTTTTACTGCTCCTGACATCTTCCACAATGCGGACTCTTGCACCTGATCCAATTTGTAAATTATGAAGAGCACACAGCTGAGGGCTCTCTAGCTCGTGGGGAATGGGCAGGTTGATCTGCAGAACCACAGGTGCTGAGGCCAGTGGTGCGAAGTGCAGTCGAGTCTGTGGAAGGATGCCATGAACCCCACAGTCGTGAGCCAAAACACTGCATCGATTAACTTGGCTCTTAAGAAAATGTAGGTATCTCTGTTAGCTGGTGTCACTTCATATTCCAGGGCCAGAAGGGACTGCAGGGGTCAGCAGTCTAGGCCAGGCATGAATTGCTCTATAAATAAATTCCAGCTGGGTAATCATTAGATCTTCATTCACTTGCTGTGACTGGTCTCCTTCCGAGGCGGAAGTCAGTGTGAAAGTTCTGTGCTGTCGGCCTCCGTGCCCCCGGTAGCTCCTGGTCCTTGTTTGTTGCCTTTGTGGTCACACTTCTGTGTGCTGGCCCCAGACAGCTCTGTGGAGGAGTGGGGATGGCAGTCATGGGCCTGGTTCCCTGGGTCTGAAGACCCCCACACAGTGGACAGAGTGGTTTAATGCACAGTAAGGCCATGAGGGCATGTGCATGCCTTCCCACTAGTGAATCCACCATTTGGAAAACCTATTATAAGAGACCTTATTTCTCCAGTGTTCTTCAGGAACCTGGAATTCTTTGGAAGCAAAATTAGTGTTTCATTTTCTGAATGGCCCACTCCCAGGATGGTTGTGGGGCACTAGGAAGGGGATCCTCCAATTTCAGGTAAAGGTGGCCATGTCCAAGAGTGGTGAAGGAGCGCCTACCTTCTCCCCTCTCCGGTCTGGCAGCTACATCTCGTTTCCTCTAGGTTTCGTGTTCCTGGTTCCCTGTGGGCCTGCTCTTCTCTGTCCTGGACATCAGCCCTTCCTCAGCCAGCAGGCCTTCCAGCCCCCTGCCCCCTGGGTCGAGTCCCCTTCCCAGCCTGAAAGCAAACAAATGGAAGCAACTGGCTGGGTTTCTGTACCAGCTGGTACATGTTAAGCTCATAAAGACATACTAAAAGGATCTCGAGGTTTTGTTTATATTTTAAATTACCTTCTCATCTTTCAGGAGATAAAGGAACCAAAAAAATCATTAATTAAAAGGAAAAAATAAAGTAGATTATGTCAATAAATGCAGAAGTATTAAGTAAAATGCAGCAGCCATTAAAAAACAGAACCACAGAAACCCTTTGCAAAGTAGAAACAGAAAAGAACTACCCTCACCTCAAAGGGCATCTACAGAAAACCTGGAACAGGTGAGGTGTTTACCCCCCCCGAGACGAGGGTGCCCTCAGTCACAGCTGTGCATCATGCTTGCGGGTACCCCGCAGTGGGGTGAAACAATAAAAAGGGTAAAGGACTGAAAAGGAAGAAACAACTCATTTTTCAGATTAGTATTTTCTGTTAAAAAAAACCCAAAAGCATGAACACGTTCTGGATTTAAGATCAATATACAGAAATCAAATACATTTCAATACACTGGCAACATGCAAAATATAATTCAAAAGAGTGCCGTTTAAAATAGCAAAAAAAAAAAATCCTGATCAGTGTGGCTCAGTGGGTTGGGCGTTGTCCTGAAAAGCAAAAGGTCACTGGCTCAATTCCCCATCCAGGCACATGCCTGGGTTTCGGGCCACTTCCTGGACAGGGGTGTGCCAGAGACAACTGATCGATGTTTCTCTCCTCTTTCTCCCTTCCTCTCTAAAAAAAATACACTTTAAAAAATAAATAGCAATAAAAAATAGAGATTTAAGCCTATCAAAGAGGTTTCTGTCCTCAACAGGAAATTATTAAACTTTATTGAAAGGTGTTAAAGCCTAAATAAATGGAGACCTATACTATTAGTAATGGGTAGGAAGACAATATTATAAAGACAATTTTCAACAAATGCATTTATATATTAAATTCTTGTCAAAAATCTCAGTTTTCTTTTTAAACAGAACTTTATTCTGAAATCGATGATACAACACAGGTGGGAGACTGCCTCTACCAGACACAACACACTCAGAACAGTAGCAATTAAGTCAGCGTAGTTTTGGCACTCTGGTACAAACAGACCCGTGTACGTACGAAGACTGGTCAATGACAGCTGATGCTGCAGATCAGTGGGGAAATTATTAACTCATCCATAAAGTGCTGGGCTAGTTGTGTTACCCTTCTACAATAGAATAAAATTGGGCCCCTACTTCACTCCACACACACGAGTCTGTTCCAAGGTTAGCTGTTTTGAGTGCTTTGGTATCGCAGTGTGTTTGAATAGAAGGGCATTGGGCTCAGTGTCTGACTTGCTGCACACCCCTGCACAAGTACTTTTCCTCTCAGGACCCCATTTTCTCCATGTGAAAACGAGTGCACTTTAGCTCGGACATTGCTCCTCAATGAGGTTAGTCAACACAGTGGTGCGTTTCTTCTGAGCCCTGCCCTCATCACCCCGGAATTCAGTTCCCTGCCCCACACTTTAGGACCTCAGTCTGCCATCTTGTAGTAGCAGAAGGCAGAGCTGCTAGAAGTGGGGACAGTGGAAGATGAGAGTGGATGAACATGCTTTACCTGTATCGCTACAGCTCATTCCACACCCGTGTTTCCGGAATTGCCCTCGTGTTACAGAACTCACAGTCTGGAGAGGCAAAATAACTTGTGGTCACAAAGCAAGGACCTGGCAGAACGAGGACACCGGGCACTCGGGTGTCCCTGATCGTGGTTCATGAGTGAGAGCCGCACTGTTTCGTGTGCGCTGGCAGTCCTCGCGCATCTGATCAGACCACCGAATGCAGAGGACCTGGTACCTGCTGGTTATTCGTTAAATAATCACCGAGTGAAGAGTGGGTGGAGTCGGGTGAGAGGACATGCAGGCACGTGTGCGTGAACTATAAGGAGGACTGGATGAGGCAGTGCATGGGAAGTGCGTGGTGCCTGGCTCACACCAGAATTCAAATCCCAGCTGTCCAGTAACTCACTGGGCAAGCCACTGGGAGTGCAGATAAAATTAAACACCAACAAAAACCTTTCCTTTTCAAAAAAATAACACCACCCTTCCTTTCATGTTACAGCAGTGTTCTACCAGTAAATTGTTAAAATTCTATGATCACGTCACTCAATGGACAAGTTTCAAGTGCAAAATGTACAAAGTGATCACTTGTGCATCAGGCCATGATTAGCACGTAAGATTCAACTGGTTTAAATAAATACACACCAATTATAAATCTTCATTTGTCTGGAAGACTAGTAAAGTACAAATCCCTAAATCCATGGGAATAACTTTCATTGCAGTACTATCTGAATCGAGCATCAGCAATTCATTCAGAAAAATAAAGAGGATTTTTAAAGAGAGGATGTCCCAGGACAAAGCAGCAAATGTACAGGGAACATGATACAGCGTCTCCCACCATCACCAGAAGAGCCAGGAGCCAATGGGAACTTCCTGAGCCTATTGAATTTATTGTTGGAAAGTTCTTCGTAGAGATTAGGAAATTAGGTTAAAAAAAAAAAAAATCTCCAAGCAACAATTAAATTTTATTTCTGCTTCAACAATAAATATCCTGAGTTATTTTTCCAAATTCTACCTCCTGACCAAATACCCATAAAATTGAAATCTCACATTATTTTTCATTGTGATCTAAGTCCACTTAGAAGTTACATGTTTAGCTTTAAAACCACATGACTTGAAAGCTCAGGCTGCACAGGCACCTCATGATTCCTTTCATTAGTCACAGAATAGCACCTATTGGCTACAAGGGCTTTAATTTTCATGTAGATGAAGTGATGGGGGCTCTTAACCTGCCCAGTAGCTAAGTTTTGATGGATTTACTTTCCATGGCATCAAACATGTCTTCTAAGGCCTTGTGCACACACTGGAGAAACTCCCGGGCATTGCGGCCTGGGTAGCAGGAGACATTGCAGCCCATCCAGTTGTCATTAACAGAATACGCAATGCCAAAGCCATCAGGGACCACGGGGGCAAAGCCGCCAATGTTCACTGCTGGACTGGCCAGCGTGCTTGTGGACAAGATGTTGTGGTTTATCTGCCTGTATGCAGGGTCCAGATACAGCTCAGGCAGGGCAACCCCTTTGGCTGCTGCCAGGTACCGCAGAGCAAATAAGTGTCGGTCAAAGCCCTGGCCTGCAGGAGACAAAACAAAAAACAGTCTCAGAATCGCAGAACTGAAAGGCACTTCGCCAAACCTCCCACCCACGCACAAGTCCCCTTCACAGCATCCTGGAGAGAAAAAGGGTCTGTCTACCTCTGCCTGCACACCTCCAGCTCACCAACCTCTGAAGCAGCTCATTCTAGAATATTTTCTTAAGAAAAAGCTGTCAACAGCTGAGTTAAAAATGAGCGTCAAATGATTTTAAAAGTCTGAAACTAAGTCAATTTAGTCAAACACTCAAAAGTGAGTATATGAAGAGAGCTCCAGACTCAAAAACTAAGACAAAACGCAAAGTCCAAGTCAAGTGTAAAACAAGTGAGTCGGTGGAACGAACTGGAAAGGGTTCTAATTCACCTTCACTGCTCATTTCCTATGGACCCCTGCGCCCGTGGCCTCAGCCGCCGGCCTGTGAAATGGAGAAGGATGAGACCAGAGGTCTCTTTTAGTGCCAGAATTTGGCTGCATGAAGGGATTGGACCCTCCAGGTCCTTTCCAGGTCTCAAAGAGACACAGAAGGATGACACTTTGGTCTGAGAAGAGCTGCTGAGACGACCTGTTTACAGGGAGTCAACACACCACATCTGAAGTGAAGAGGGGCTGCAGGGTTAGAAACCCTAAATTGTCAAAACTTAGTCTAACGGCCCATAAACAGAGAACCGCGTGTCACAGATGAAAGTGACCTTCAGTGAGGATAGTTAGATGCATTTCATCATCCCAGCTTAGAAGAGAACATTTTGACCTCTAGTGTCCCGTCTGGCTGTTCAGACTATTAAGGTAGAAAAAAGTAATCACCCGGGAGCTGGTAGACAGATTAAACCTAGGGAAGGGGAGGAAATCAGATATGGAGTAGAGCATTACTGAGGCGTACCCCAGTGCTGAGGGCAACAAGACCCAAGGGCAAGCTCCCCACCCCCATCTCACCCATGGCTGCTTCTCTGGTCAGCTGGCTGTGGTATTTGGAGCACTCAGCCATCATCTGCTGAAGCTCCCCTGCGCTGTGCTTGGAGGGCTCCCTGACGAAGGCCTCAGAGCACCTCCTCGTGAAGACGGAGGCGGGGCGGATGGTCTCGGTGCGCCCATGCTTAAATGCTGCAGTGCTACAGGACTCATACGTGGCCACCGTCTTGCCGTACTGCCGCAAAAAGGCCATCTGGAAGGCCAGCTGGGCCACTGAGTCAGGGCTCAGCTTCTGCTTCTTCAAGAATTCTTTGCCTCCTCTATGAAACTGGATGGAGTCAATGGTGAGGGTTTTCATGGTGGCATCGAACTTCTCCTTGGCAGCGCTGATGCCAGTCTTTAAGGCATCATTCAGCCTGAACTGGAGTTTCTGCACCGCCACGGAAGAGTCTGTGCTGGCCGGCTGGCCCTGCGGGATGATGGCAGGGGCCTGAGTGCTGTCTTTAAACACTTCATTGAAAAACCTGAGCACTGCGACACCATCGCCCCAAGCGTGCTCAAAGTGGACAGCGGCAGTGCCGTCCTTGGCTATAATGAGGTTGAAGGATTTATCAAACCAGCGGTTTGAGCCATCACCATGCAGCATGTTGTGGGACAAGTGGACAAGGTCCTTAATGGGGAAGTCATCTAGGCAGAGGCAGAACACGGCAGAGTCCACCTTCCTCAGGGCCTCCTCATTGCCGCCACTCTCTAGCTTCTGTCTGAGCTCTGCCCACACATCTCGGTTCTCACTGGTCAGATACGCCAGTGGGAACTCAGGGGCAGGGCTATTGTCCGAGAGAATGTACTTCAGATGGGCCTGGATTTCAGAGGCGCTCACAATGTTCCCATCTTGATCCAGGACATCAAAGACATAGAAGTTTCCTTTTCTCAGGACCAGGAGGTGCCTGGCCTTCTCATCAGTGATGAGTTCGTCCCGACTGGGTCTGGGTAAACGAGTTGAATTGAAAAGCCGAAAATACTGGGACATATCCAGTGGATATGCATTGACCAAGTAGGCACCATACCAAGACAGAGAGGAAGGCACAAAGCGTATGAGTCTCTTGAAGGTATCAGTGTCACTTTTGACAGGGTTCAGGTGAAACACTTCCGGCTCCAGAAGGCCGGCCCGGAACGTCTTCAAAAAGCGGACGGCAGACACGGTCATGTTGGTTGCTCGGGTGAGCTGGTCATTATACTCAGGCTTCGGGTCAGGGTTGAATGCCATAAATGGGTTAAAGTTCAGGACAATGGGGTCTCGAGCAGTTAAGTACATATCAAACCAGGGGCCTAAAATATATAAATAAAAAAAGAACACCATAAAAAGTTAATGCAGGCACTAAAAATGTAATTTGAGAAAGAAAAAATAATCAAGCATATGCAAAAGTAATGACAACCTCCAGTGGGAAGAATTTCCTGATTCTGCTCTGTAATAATTCATGTTATAGAAACAGGATCATATACAATGTGGCATTTTACATATGGCTTCTATCCCTTATAATAATGTTTCTGAGGTTTATCCATGTTTTAGCATGTATCAGTTCTTCATTTCTTTTCGTGGCTGAATAATGCTCCATTATATAAATATAGCACATTGTTTATCCATTCATCAGCTGATGGGTATTTGGGTTGTTTCATTTTTGGTTATTACGAATGATGCTGGTACATACAAGTTCTGTGTGGATATATGTTCCCAATTCTCTTGTGGGTATATTAATAGCAAGGAGTGAAACTGGTGGGTCATGAGGTAAGTGTGTGTTTAACATTCTGAGGGGCTGCACGGTAACCACCAGCAGGGTGTGAGGGTTCCAGTTTCCCCACATCCTTCGCAGTGTCTGTTATCGTTTGTCTTTCTGACGGAGCCAATCTAGTGAGTAACCAGCTCTGTGGTTTTGATTCGCATTCCCCTAATGTTTGTTAATTGCATTTCCTTCCTCATTTTGTTTTCTTTCTTGACTCTTAAATGAATAAAATACACTAACACCTTCAAGCTAGAACAGAGTAGTTGTTAATTCCCACCCCAACTCCTTAGGGTTCCCTTGCCCTGTCTCCTTTCAGAGACACATTCACACTCACTGTCTCCCAAACATGGGGGAGGCCTTCGCCACTGTTCTGTGTACCATGCACACTGGTGCACGCCCTCTTTCAGGAAATGGTCAAAAAGCAGTCAGAGATGACTCTGAGTGTGTGTGGACCACTCAAACCAGGTCTCTGCACTCCAGTGGGTGTTTTGCTTGTAAAAATACCAGAAGCAGTTGTAAAAAGCAATATTTTATCAGAAAATTTGTCTTCAAAGGAAGACAAATCCCCCTGCCGGGATTAGCAAGCATGAATGAACTCTGCTATTAAAGGCCACTTTCCATTAGAGTAAATAATTTTCACATGTAAAGCACTGGGGAAAGGATTAATAAACAGAAAAGTAATCTATTATTCATTTGTTGGGCCACTTATACCACGTCACTCCTTGAGAATCAGGCCCTGGTCCAGGGGATCTAGAGAGGAACAGGACATGGACTTCGATTTGAAAGATCGATGGTGCGGGAGACAAATAAAACTAAACAATGAAATGCACCGCAACGGTAAGAGAAAAGACACACTAAGGAGCAGGTGTGTGAAACACATTTGATGGAAAAAGATGTGAATTTATGCCTCTGATCCCTTCAGTAAAATAATTTTGAAAAGACAAAAACCAGTAAGGCAAAGACAACAAAAGAAGAGAAAAGAGCAAATACTAGAAGATGAAAAGCATTTATTTAGGCCACTGGTAATGACTAAAGCAGACTCAAGAAAGCCGGCCCTAAGCCAAGAGCAGAGAATGACAAGAAATAACATGATGTGCAGATTCCCAGGGGGCTCAGGAATCGGCAGCCAACACATCTGGTTGAAAAGTTATATAATTAGACTCCCACTCCCACCTCCCAGATACTCTTCCCACTCCAGTAGAAGACTTAAGTTTTATTCTCTGGAAAAAGTAAAATTGTAAGATATAAATCTCAGTTGAGATCTCAAGCTTCTTCCCACTTCTAAGCAATAGTGACCAGGAAAATACCTTTTGGCAGTTTTCTGGAAAAGCCTTCCCTGGGAGCCTAACCCACAGACACTGACCCAAGGGGCACCCGAGGACCTGGCTGAGCCAGAGCACATTACAGTGAAGCTGTGACTGACAACTCCACCCTCGTCCACAGAGCCTACGGCTGCCTTTTACTACCTCATTCATATCTAAAACAACAGAAGAGGATTGTGAGGCACCTGAAAAAGAGGGCAAAACAAACCAACTACAGCAACTACAGATGACGAGAAAGGTGAAAGCTTAAAAGATGCCCAGATAAACTATTAAGGACATAGAAAGCTAAACATAAGAAAGTATAAACTAACAATTGACTTCAGAAAAAACAAAAAGTTCATATCAGAAAGAAAAAACAATCCTAGTGTGCTATACAACTCAGCTGACAACAGCATTTACATGATTACAACAGTGTAAATGCTGAATACTAAAATTATTGGTAAATGCTGACCAAAATTACAAATAATTATACTATGAAAATAAGGGATAGGGAATGGGCATGTATGAGTGGGGGTATATAGACAATGCCTAAAACAAAAAAAAAGTTAAAACTCCGTAATATAGGTATACCATTTAGAGAATGGGGATACATATCAAAAGGAGAAACACACCAAGACACATAATTACATTACTCAAGATTAAATATAAGGAGAGAATCTTAAAAGTAGCAAGAAAAAAGGAAACAGCTGCCTACAAAGGAGTTCCCATAAGACTATCAGCTGATTTCTCAAAAGAAGCCTTGCAGGCAAGAAGGGGCTGGAAAAAAGTATTTGAAGTCATGAAAGGCAAGGACCTACATCCAAGATGACACTATCCAGCAAAGCTATCATTTAGAATGGAAGGGCAGATAAAGTGCTTCCCAGATAAGGTCAAGTTAAAGGAGTTCATCATCACCAAGTCATTAGTCATTATTATATAAAATGTTAAAGGGACTTACTGAGAAAAGAAGATCAAAACTATGCGCAGTAAAATGACAACAAATTCACAACTATCAACAACTGTACCTAAAAAACAGAAACAAATTATGCAAACAACTAGAACAGAAACAAAATCACAGAAATGGAGATCACATGGAGGGTTATCAGTGGGGAGGGGCGGGGGAAGAATGAGGGAAAAGGTTATAAGACAGGGAATAAGAAGCATAAGTAGACACAAAATAGACAGGGGGAGTTAAGAACAGTATAGGAAATGGAGAAGTCAAAGAACTTATATGTACAACCCATGGACATGAACTAAGGAGGGGAAGATTGCTGGTGGGACAGGGGGTGCTAAGAGGAGGGGAATAAAGGGGAGAAAGAAATAGGACAACTATAATAGCATAATCAATAAAACATACTTTAAAAAATCAACCTACTTTATTTTCCATTAAGCACATAATTGGCATAAAACAAAATACTAGTTTCAGGTGTACCCTATGATGATTCCATATTTATATTTATCGTGATACTGTGAAATGATCACCACAGTAAGTTAGTTAATATCCATTCCCATACACAGTTACAAAATCAATTTTCTTATGATGAGAATTCTTAAGGTCTGCACTCTGAGCAATTTTACAATACAGTATATTAACTGCAGTCACCATGTTGTGCCTTACGTCCCCTGACTAACTGTACAACTGGACGTCTGTGCCTTTTCATCGCCTTTGGCAAGCACCCTACCTGAGTCTTGAAGGAAGAATTTCCCAGGCAAAAGTTGGCAGTGGAGGCAACATGAGTAAAGGCACACAAGAATTAATGGGCTGAGGAAATGCGTTGTTCTGCTCTGTTGAAGCATGCAGTGTGGCAGAGAGAATGGTAAGAGCAAAGACTGGAGAGGGCCCTTAGACCAGACTGTGAAGGACCTAGAATGATACACACAGGGACTTCATCCTGCAGCCTCTTCAGTGAGAACCAATGATTAGTGCTGTCCTGACCCCACCTGAAGAGGAAGCAAGCTGTTGATCTTGAGCATGAACTCAGCCTTATCGTTTACCTCAGGGAGAGAGAATGACATCATTTCAGTGTGGTTCCACCAAAGATATTTTTGAGACCGAACAGGAGAGAGCTGCCTTACTTTCAGTTACGGAGGGCTCGGGGAAAAGTTATGCCCACAGCCCGTCCTACCTACCTGAAATGTAGCTCGTGTGTTTATTCTGCTTGTCCTGAGCAACCAGCTGCTTGTGCAGTTCTTGTCCGATCCCATTTTCAAAACTCTTGCAAAGTTCTTCCGTTTTCCTGAAATGTTCAGGAAAAGACAGAATCAAATAATGGCAGAAAGTACATGATTTTTAGATTCATGACCAAAAACTCATATACAGAACTTTGAGTCCCCAATAGTGTACCCTAGAACCTAGGACCAAGATCGGAAAGTACTCTGATCAGAAGAACAAGAATAAATTCAAAACAAATAAATCTAAGATACCTTATTTTTTATCCTCACCTGAGGATATGCTTACTGATATTTAGAGACGGGAACAGAGAGAGAAAGAGAAACACCGAGGTGAGAGAGAAATATCAATCGGCCGCCTCTCATATGCGCCCCAACCAGGGACTGAACCTTGAACTTTCGGTTTATAGGATGATGCTCCAACCACCTGAGCCACCCAGGCTAAGGCTAGTGTATCATTTTTAAATGACTGACTGGCGAGTTCCAGCCAAGGTGGAGGCGCAGGTAGAAACCCTTTGCTTCCTTGCACAACCAAAAGGAGGATAACAACCAATCTAAAATCAATAAACAACCAGAAGTGCCAGAAAAATCAAACTGCATGAAACTGCAACAACCAAGGAATTAAAGAAACAGTCCATCAGAACAACCAGACTGGTAAGGTGGCAGGGGAAGAAAAACCACAGTGAGGCGGCAGACTGTGGGGGTGGGGCTGGCTGCAGGGAGGGGGCAGGCTGCATCGGAGGGGCTGTCTTTACGCCAAACTAAGACTCAGAGCTGACTATGGACTGTGGTGACTGCCACAGTGGGAGAAACTCCCAGTCTCACATGAGAGTCTGTTAGAAAGTGTGCTCGAGACAAGCAGGGAAGCTGCTCTGTTCCCTCTCTGGCCGCTCCCTTACAGGCCCCTCCGCAGGGCAGCAAGAAGGATTGCCCTGCCCAGGTGAATACCTAAGGCCCCACCCCCTTACAACTTAACAGGTGCAAACAAATATGGCCTAAATGAAAGAACAAAGCAAAACCTCCAAAAGAGAGCTAAGCAAGGAGGAGATAGCCAACCAACCTGTCTGGTGGAAAATTTAAAGCCCTGGTAATCAAAATGCTCACAGAACTGACTGAGCTCGGTCAAAAAGTGAAAAAACAAATGAAAGATACCCAAAATGAAATAAAGTAAAATATTCAGGGAACCAACAGGGAGAAGAAGGAAACCAGGACTCAAAGCAACAATTTGTTACCAAAAGGAAGAAATAAACATCCAACCAGAACACAATGAAGAAACAAGAATCCAAAAAAATGAAGAGAGGCTGAGGAATCTCTGGGACAACCTGAAACATTCCAATATCCAAATTATAGCAGTGCCAGAAGAACAACAGCAAGACATTAAAAACTTGTTTGAACAAATAATGAAGGAAAACTTCCCCAATCTGGTAAAGGAAATAGACTTCCAGGAAGCCCAGGAAGCCCACAGAATCCCAAAGAAGTTGGACCCAAAGAGGAACACACCAAGGCACATCATCATAAAGTTATCCAAGATTAAAGACAAACAGACAATCTTAAAAGCAGCAAGAGGGAAGGAAAGCGTCACCTACAAAGGAGTTCCCATAAGACTATCAGCTGATTTCTCAAAAGAAACCTTGCAGGCAAGAAGGGGCTGGAAAGAAGTATTCCAAGTCATGAAAGGCAAGGACCTACATCCAAGATTACTCTATCCAGCAAAGCTATCATTTAGAATGGAAGGGCAGATAAAGTGCTTCCCAGATAAGGTCAAGTTAAAGGAGTTCATCATCACCAAGTCATTAGTCATAATTATATAAAATGTTAAAGGGGTTTATCTAAGAAAAGGAAGATCAAAACTATGCGCAGTAAAATGACAACAAACTCACAACTACCAACAAATGAACCTAAAAAAAATAAAAGAAAGAAAAACAACAAAAACTAGAACAGGAAAAGAATCAGAGGAATGGACATCACACAGAGGGTTTTCAGTGAGCAGGGGAAGGGGAGGAATAGGGGGAAAAGGTACAGGGAAGAAGAAGCATAAGTGGTAGGCATTAAATAGACAGGGAGAGGCAAAAATGGTATAGGAAACAGAGGACTCAAACAACTTACATATGCAACCCATGGGCATGAACTAAGGGGTATGGGGGATGCTGGAGGGATGGGGGGGTGCAGGGTGAAGGGGGGATTAAGGGGGGAAAATTGGGAAAACTGTAATAGCATAATCAATAAAATATAATTAAAAATAAATAAAAAATAAATGACTGGGAAAATCAGTCAACATTGCATAAAACTATCTGTAATCTCAGAGGCAGGCAGGGTGGCATGGACAAAAGGATATAAGCTTTGGGGTCAAAAAGAGCTAAGTCTGAATTCTAGCTCTGTCACTTTCAAACTGTGGCACCTGCAGGAAGTTCCTTGGTCTGAGTTTCAGTTTCTTTGTGCATAAAACAGAGATCATACACCACCTTACAAGATGAAAAAATATTTATAAAGCTACAGATTTTGGATAGTTTGAAACATAATATTCAATAACTGGGAGCTGTTAAACTATCGCCATATCAACAGAAGCTTCAAGAGACTAATAAGGAATACTTAAAAGTAGAAGACTAGATTATGAACAGTTCATCTGTGTTTTTCCATCACTGTCCAGTGAAGGACTCTGTGGTTTCAATGACAATGCCAGCTACCTGCACAAAAAAATCCCATCACAGAAAGAGTACTATGCTAGGATGTAAGACCTTAATACGATCCACTTTTTTACAATATCTAGTATTATTTCCCAATTCCATGCTGTATTACTTTCCTACAATAACAATGTATCACAAACTGGAGAGTTCAAAATAACAGGAATTTACTCTCTCATAGGTTTGGAGGCTAGAAGTACAAAATCAAGGCATTGACAGTATCATATTCTCTCTGAAGACTCTAGAGGAGAAGCTACTCATGCCTTTCTCTTAGCTTCTGTGATTTCCCAGCTATCCTCGGCATTCCTTGGCTTGCTGACGTACCACCATCTCCGCCTTCATCATCACATAGCTGTCTCTGTTTCTTCTCTTCTTGTAAGGACACCAGTCACATTGGATTAAGGACACGTCCTACTCCAGTATCATCTCACCTTAGCTGGTTACATCTGTAATGACCTCACTTGTAAATAAGCTCATGTACTGAAGTTCTGAAAAGAATATGAATTTTGGGGGTGCACTATCCAACCCAGCACACATGCTCACCAAGCAAACTTCTGGTCTGCCATATGCTCTCCTCAATGGATCTCCTCACCAGGAGCACATACCTGCTGCAAATGGCCAATACCAGCAAGCCTCCCAGGTACGTCTGCCAAGATTCTGTGCAAATTTGCCATTCTGGCTTATAAACTATCACCTGTTGAGTCTGGTTAGAGAGACCTGGTCAGCCCTTCATGAGTAAAAAAACTTATTTCCTGAATTTACAAATGTAGAGATTAGGTCCCAGGTCCCTGGAAACCTAATCAAATTGCAGATTCTTCCTGAAGCACAGTTCCCCATTACTTGCCAGCTTCTCTTGAACCACCCAACCACGGTCGTTCAGGGTTCTCAGCATTTACCTGAACTGCTCATCATCCAAGAGAGGCTTCTGCGCACTGAGGTATCTCCTAATGGTGTCTTCAAGTTTGGGAATAGGCAGCCTGAGGAGGAAAGCAAGGTCGATGTAAGGGTGATGATATGTGAAACAGGTTAATTAGCTTCACAACCCAAAATAATAAACTAATTAATGGATAATTTCCTTCCAAAAAAACACCCCCAACAATATGAAACCACAGACAAATTAGAGTTGATAGGTTTACTGATGCTTTAAGTATCATGGGTAACTTTCTAAAAATTTTAAGTATATTTCATATTTTTAAGTAAAATAATTTTATTAATAATGAATTTCATAAGCTAAATTAGTATATACAAAGTCTGTCCAGAAAAAAGTCCAGCCATTGCTAATATAACAAGAATGGTTTGCATAACATCAGTGTAACCTGGCAGCCAAGGAGAGTGGACTAGAATGTGCATGTGTGAACAATGACGACTTCACTGTACTACTCAGTGGGGGTGGTATATATGCTGTGAGTGAGCATGTGTAGTGTGTGGCTATCACATTCAAAATGAGTGAACAGAGCAATGAATTTGCATTAAGCTTGAACATTCCTCCATAGAAACTATTCGGATGATTCAGAATGCTTTTGGGGATGATGCAATCAGTGCAACATAAACAAAAGTGTGGCACAAATGCTTCGAAGATGGTTGAGAATATGTTAAAAGTGACCCACGTCCTAGAAGGCCCGCCACAAGAACACCTGAGAGTGGTAAATGTGTACGGGCTGCAATCAACAAAGATGGGTGACTGATGGTCTAAGAACTGGAGGCTGATCTGGGGATTCCAAAATCTACTGTGTCTGAGATTTTGACACAGGATCTTGGCATGAAATGTGTCGTGGCAAAATGTATTCCACAGTTTCTGCTATCAGAGCAGAAGGAATATCATGCTGGGGGTACTAATGACTTGATTCAAACTGCTACCTATGAACCAGGTTTCCTCAAGAAGGTCACAATTGGAGATGAATCAGGTCTACAGCTATGATCCAGAAATGAAGGCCCAGTCTCCCCAACGGAAGTTGCCTGGTTCTCCACACCCAAAGAAGGCACAACAAAGTCACAGCAAGATCAAGATCATGTTAACTGTGTTTTTTGATTGGGAAGGTGGTGTCCATCATGAGTTTGCCCCTCCGGGCCAAACAATTAGTAAGGAGTACTACCTCAATGTTCTTCACAGGTTGAGAGATGCAATACAAATGAAATGGCTGCATCTCATGCAGCATTTTTGGTGAAACATCAAATCACCTAGGTGACTTAGCCTCCCCACAGCCTAGATTTGATGCCCTGTGACTTCCAGCTAAAACTCAAATCACCCTTTGAAAGGGAAGAGACGTCGGACTGTTGATGCAATTCAGGAAAATACAATGAGCCTGTTGCTGGCGATTCCGACAGAGGATTTTGCAGAGTGTTTTGAACAGTGGAAGAGATGCTGAGAGAACTGTGTGAGGTCCTAAGGTGCCTATCATGAAGGGTACTGAGGCATCACTGTCCTATGTACAGTTTCTTGTATCTTCTTCAATAAATGTCTCCATTTTTCATATTACATAGCTGGGCACTTTCTGGACCGAACTTGTACACTAATAGATTCAAAATGGGGAGGTGGAAGCTACCCAAGTCTCCCTGTTTCCTGGCCACAGCTATAATACCTTTGTTAGACCTGTGTCGGCTCTGATTTGAATTCTACTCTTAGTTTGAACAACTGCATTTTTCTCCCTCAAGATTAAAAAAAAAGTCGTATTTTTCAATTTTCTTGTGCATTGTACAACACTGATTAATACAAAAGTGCAATACAAGTCTGTCCAAGGGCCAGCCAAATGGGGGGTCAACCATTGAGCCATGCTCAGCCAGCAGGAGTCCTGTGAGGAAGAACCAGATCTTCCTACACGCTTCCTTATTCCTCATTCTCTGCCAGTAGATCTCAATGACAGCTATGGCAATGAAGCTACTGGGCCACATTGAAATTAAAGCACATGGACAGTATTAGTGAGGTGTACTTTCTTTTTCATGTCAATAATTTCATTGGGGCGCTCTCTTTCTCTCTAAGCTTTTGGCATTTGGACACTCTGGGTCTCTGGCCCTTGCTCCCCACACGGACAGGAGGACTCGTGGGGCCAGGTGGATGCTGGGCCCACCAGGGGCTTAGGCCCTGCATGGTTGGAAGTCCGCTCCTGGAGGCAGGGTCCCACGCTGGGTGGGTGCCTCTCGGGCTCCAGCCTCTGGGACACCATGACCCAGCACAGCATGGCACATGGTTCCCCGAACTGCCATCCGGAGACTGAGAGCAGCGCGCCCCAGATCCTGAAAAAGAGGTGCTGCAAGAAGACGGTGACTCTGAAACCCACGGGTGCACATTCCAGAGAGGATGGAGACCTGTGTGCAGGGCTGGCTTTAGGACAGATAAGGACATGGGGAAATTCTGGGCATGGTTTTGGCTCGTAGTCTTTTGGAGAGCAAGAGAAGCTCTGGGTCTGGTGGGAGAGAAGGGCTCAGAGCCCAAGTGCTCTCAGCCCCGCCCCCCCCAAATCGGAACCCTGTTTCCTTAAAAAGTAATAATAATAAAAATTTTATTGAAAGACAAATCCCCCAGCACCAAAACTTAATCGGAATGTGTTAGGTTACCTCTGCCAACTCAAAGGAACACTGATACTTTAAAATTATCTAAATACAGCCACCATTTAGTAAAACTGGAAAGCTGTCCATAAAATGTAGTTTAAAACCTTACTGTAACACAGGCCGTGGTTCTTCAGTTCATTTCCAATGCATGGTCCATCCAAACAATGATATAAAAAGTAAATCTGAATTACTTATAGCCATCCTGAACTGAGGTTGCACTGAGTGACAACCACAGGTCCCCTCCCGGTCACAGCAAATCCCAAACGCTGACCCAGCTACTTCATAATCACAAAGTTACCCACTGACTTTTCTCAAGACTGTTTTAATACTATAGGGACATTAATGAAAATTTACATGCTTTTTAAACAAAACTCTAAATTGGAAGCAATGGTGGTTTTGTAAAAACAGTGCTTATTAAGAAGCTTCTGGAGTGTTTACTCCACTCTGAACTTACATTAGTAGGCTAAGCCAGTTTTCAGAGTGATGATTTATATTTTAGTTACTAACACAATAGAAACTGAAGTTTCTCAATGGAATTACATTGAGGCAGTATAGATTCTGTATAAATTTTTTTTATCATGGACACAAAAAGCACCTGTTTTCTATAAAATAAAAAATAACATAATGAATATGCCAAACTTACCAGGTCTATATTTTTGCCTTATATGAAATGCCTTCAATGTAAATGCCAAATAGCAATACAGTCTACATTATCACATTACCTAATACTTGGCAGACACCGGCCAAGGTTAAGAAGGTACTGGTTCACAGTGAAATGGATAAGAAAACAACCAGGAACAGAACAGTGAGCTTTTCACGAAGCTAAATTTGTTTAATTCAAAGCTAAATTTGTTTAATTCAGACATCTGTCCTTAAGGCAGACATTGTCCCTCTTGTTTTGTTTTCTTGATGGGGGATGAGAGTCATTAAAGGCCCTGTCTTTTAAGAAGGAATGTTGAGAACAAGATTTAGAATCAGACCTGGGCTTGACTCCCAGCTCTGCCACTCAATCTCTAGTTATATGGTTATAGGCAGCAAATTACTTGAGGTTGCTCAGACTCCATTTCTGATCTACAAATTGGAGGAAGGAACTGCCCCACCAAGAGACCTGAAATCCCACCTGGTTAAGTCCCAACTCCACCAACACAAGGTTATCTCCAACACATTTACTGTGTGGACAGGTTACATTCACAGCCTTTGGAATCTCACAGATCTGGGTTTGCAGCCTGGATTCTGCCACTTATTGCCCATGTGGTCCTGGGCAAATTTCTCACCTCTCCGGTCCCCCTTTCTCCATTCCTTAAATAATAGCTCACTGAGCTATTATGAGAATTAAATGTATTTTTATACATATAAAATTAGGAAGGTATCTGACATACAGTAAGCAATAAAAACACTAAATGTACATTTATAGACATGCAGATATCTATCTATGTCTATAAATAGCTCATTCTATCTCTTCCATTTCCCTCCTAGTTTCCTGCTCCCGTTTCAACACCTTCCACCTCAGGCACAGAGCCTATCTGCTACTATTTCCTTCCTTCTGCTTAGCAACATCCAGTTTGGCCCCACGTAACTCTTACTATGCCTTTAGAGCCCCCCTTCTGTTCTGAAAGTTGTATTCTGTAACTTCTCCAGTACTTTGCCTACCTCCTCACCTCTCTCAAAATCTGACTACAGTCAACTCTCTGTGTCTGTGGGTTCCCACATCTATGGATTCCACCAACTGCAGAGTGAAAATATGTGGGGGGGAAAGTCACGTTGCTGACATGTACTATGTAGTTAGGCCTATGATAAGTGCATATGTAACTGAACATATACAGACTTTTTTTTCTTGTCATTGTTCCCTAAATATAACTATTAACATACTGCTTACATTGTATTAGGTACAGCAAGTAATCTGGAGATGATTTAGGGTATAAGATTATATGCAAATACTGGGCCATTTTATATGAAGGACTTGCACACCTGTGGATGTGGTATTTGCGAGGGCTCCTGGAACCAATCCCCTGAGGACACTGAGAGTCCACTGTACTCTGAAAATACTAGCTTTCAAATTTCTCTCCAAAGAAAGCCCCTTCCCAACTTCTAGGAAGGACTAGCACCCTCCTTTTGCCCGCCACCTGCCATCAACATTAAACAAGTTTCTTTCCTCTCCAAATCAATTGTACCACCTTCTCTGCATCCTCACGTTATCCACTCCAAGGGGTGGTGGGTTAGTAAGCCAGCTTTCCGGTGGGTAGGAGGTGAAAGCCTTTTTTGTAACACTTAATCAATTTCTGTAAATCTCCCACCAGCCCAATTTCAAACTACCAACATGGTGTCACTGAAGGTGCAGCTGGGAAGAAATGCAGAGTTGGCTCTTGTGCTTACGGTAATGTACAGGGGTGGGGCTTACCATTCATTGGGAGTCTTCCTCTGAAACCTCTTCTCAGACCTCCGCTGGCACACAGGCCGACACAGAATGGGCACTTAATAAATGTATGTCAAATGAAGCAGTTGGATGCTCCTTCCTTTTACCCACTACCCATCCCAGGACACTGCGTCCTTCTCTACTGCATGTAGCGGAATTTACGTATTTATGTCTCTTTTCCCCATCAGACTGCTAGCTGATGACCTTGAAGGATGCAGTTAAACATTCTCTCTTCCCACCCTGCTGGTTTTGACACCATCTTCTCAGTCACTTTTATGTCCTCTTGCCCTAAAAGTGCATATTTACTCAAGACCTGGTCCTCTGCCCTCTTATGACTAATCACTTTGTATCAGCAATTTTCAACCAGTGTGCCCCACGAATTTTTAAAAAATGCAATTTAACTATTTAGTCAGGATCACTGACCTCTTTTCCCTTAGAGTGTCAAATTAAAAAATGACAACACAATAGCTGTCCAATGTGAATGAATCAAAATTATACCTACTTTTTTATCAGATCAGCAAAAAATATATATTTTGGTGTGACACAGAATTTTAGTAATTAGTTTAGGTGTGGTCTCTGCTTTATCTAACTTGTGTTCCAGATATGACAGGTTCTCTAGAATTCAAAAGTGAGGCCAGAGTTAACAAGGTGTGGAGGATAACAGGCAAAAACAGGAATGTCTGGGTTCCAAAGGAATGCCCTTCAGGTGGATTGTCTTGACATCCACCAGGACCACTTTATCCCAATGATGACTGTATCGTGTAAAAACACAAAAGGCAAATAAATAAATGAATGAATGAATGAATAAACAAACAAACAAATAAATCTTCCCGCCCTGGCTGGTGTGGCTCAGTGGATTGAGTGCCGGCCTGCAGATGGAAAGGTTGCTGATTCCCAGTCAGGGCACATGCCTGGGTTGTGGGCCAGGCCCCCAGTAGGGGGGCATTTGAGAGGCAACCACACATTGATGTTTCACTCCCTCTCTTTCTCCTTACCCCTCTGTCTAAATATAAATAAATAAATATTTTTTAAATGTAAAAAATAAAAGGCAAGCAAATGATAGTGTAAGGGTTCCCAGGAAGAAGGGAGTCCTAGGCTACTTGGTCAATAGGCAGCAGTGAGATCACAGGAATAAGAAGCGGGAGATCCAGCTGGACCACCTAATACAAAGGGACCACCCTGGCCAGCTAATCAGGACAGTTTCCCATTCTAGGCATCACATCTCACTCTATCGCCATAATAGCTCAATGAATGTGTGGTTCCATTCCTACCTCACAGGTAAAAGCTGTGGCTCAGAGAAGCTAACTGAATTGCCTGAAGTTTACAGAGTGTAAGATCCAGACTCTGAAATCAGTTCTACCAGACTTCAAAGCCAGGACTTTTCACCAAGCGTCACATCCAAGTGATTGTCAAAGGTAACACATTTTACCAGTCTAGAATCTCAGAGATAAAAGGAATTTTGTATCTAAACCCCACTTTACAACTGAGGTAATGGAGGCTTGGAGGGGGTCCTTGTTTAAGGTTATGCATGGGTGGTAGCTTCAAATTCCTACAGATTTTGTACTGTGGATTGGGGAAAATTATCTTGAATATTCATTATTCCCAGCTTTCCAGTCCTAAAATGGAGAAAATCCCTCGGATCTTAAACCTGGATGGAGCCCAGGCAGGCACCAGAAAATCAAGGGCCATCTGCAGCTGGGCTTGGCAAACAGCACATAGGTTTTACTACTCCTCACCTTTCCCCTACATACAGGCACCAACAGGCTTACGGAGGAGGAGGCGTGTCCCAGGCTTATCCTACAGGCAAAAAGACTCTTTCTTCCTCTACCCCCACCTCTTGCCAAATTTAAATGAGATTGGGGCTAATCTCATTTTTGTTTTAGATGTCCACACTCCCATAATTTCACAGGAACCACCTTGGGTGACTTTCCTGAGAGGGTGGGGGTAGGTAGTGATGACAATGGGTTTAGGGGATCTTGGATGTGAAGAAAAACAGCAACCCAGTAGCTGGGGGTGATGCCTGTTACAATCTTTGTTCTATTCATGGGGTGGGGAGCACTGGTCTCCAGCCCCTGGACTGGGAGTTTCCTGATGGCAGTTTGGAGAGAAAGACAAAAGTATCTTTGAGACAAATTTGGAATGTGGCACCAGGAACTAAATGGTGAGTAGAAAAGGTAAAATCTGATTTTAGAGGGTGAAGGAATTTGGGAAAATTTCTAACATTGTAGAAGGAGGTCTGACAGCTCAGGTAAAGGCTGGAGTTTGAAGGCTGAGAAAACGGGCAACTGGATTAAAGAAAAGACTGGGTGAAAGAAAGGGTAAGGAGGAGGGAAAGATTTAATGGGACAGTTTTCACTGGGGAAGTGGATTCTAGGTGGTGTTTTAGAAGAGGAGGGGTAGCCTGGTGAGAAGGAATAGATATGATTTGGGTGGGCTCTAGATCTAATCCGAATAAGAGTTTGGGAGGGGTATCTGAGGGCAGTACCTAGAATTCTGTGTGGGTGGGCTGCAGTTGCAGGAGGTTGTGTGGGTTAGGGAGGATATTTTAGGGGGCGTGTTGAGGAAGGTTTGATAGTGGTGAAAGGTTTCCAGGTGAAGACTGGGCCAAGAATGCTGAGGACCTGGGGGAGAGGAAGATGAGTGCTGCAGTGTGCTTGGGGAACTGATGAGAGCGCTAGAAGAGCCCAGTGCTGTTGACAGGCGGTCGCCGGGCGGGGGTAGGGGGCGGTGGTGCTGAGGGTTCTGGGTAACAGTAATGAGGAAGACGGAATGCTGGGAGCAGTTGAGGGATGATAACTATTATGTATCAGGAATTGGCCTGTCCATATTCTGGGCAAGAATTGGGACAGTCATGAAAGCACCACAGGGAACACCCTAGGTGGAGGGATTAGAGTGGCGTTGGAGAAATGTAGGCTGATTATTTTGCAGGGAAAAATGTGAGGAACTCTTAGGGTATCTGGTTGGAAGCTGGGTTATTGGAGAGAGTTTGAGAAAGGGTCAGGATGGAGAATGTGAGAGGGCAGTGGGACGTTCTAGAATAGAATTTGCGCGTTCTGAGGTCCCTGTGTCAAGAGATTCTATAAGTCACAGACTGGGGGATGTGGCAGCGTCCCAGGTGGGAGTCTGGGGTCACAAGCAGGTTCACTAGAAGAATCGTGAGAGCCTGGAGTGAGACTGGGGCTGATCCTGGATGGGGAGTGGGCGCAGGGACCGGCAGGGCCTCACCTTGGCAAGCTGTCCTGGTAGTGCATAGTGGGCACGATGCTGCGCTGCAGGAACTGGCCCCGCCCGGAGTCGGCGCTCAGGGGCCGGCGGGGCGCGCCCAAACCCACGGCAGGGCCCCGCGGCCAGGCACGCAGTAGCAGGCGGGCCACCATGGTCCCGGGAGGCTGCGGAACGCGGGCGATGGGGAGTTCTGTTGCACAGACAGAAATATCCCTGGCCGCAGACGCCGTATCACAGACTCCAGCACAGTTCGCGGCGGCGCAGAGCGACCTCTGGCCTCCGGCGCCGCCCACGGAAGGGCCTGCCCAGAGCTGGGCCCGCCCACTGTCCCTAAAGCTCCGAGGGTAGCCCCCTGCCTGCCAGCGGGCCTCCACCTCCTAGCTCTTGGTTCCATTCTCCAGGCGGCGAAAAACGAAGCTCTGAAACCACTCCCTTCTCCTTTATTGGAGCAAGATGAAGGAGAAGTTCATCTCTCAAGTTGGAAGTTTCCTTCCAACTCTACCTTTAAGCTGAAGGGGAAGAAAGCAGGAAAAAGCCTTTGGAATCTGATAAATTTGATCCAGGCTCTGTCCCTGGGATATCGTGGGCAAAATTTTAAACTTCTATTTCCTCACCTGAGAAATAGAGATCATGATCGTTCGGCGTACCTCCCACGATGCTAGAAACGAATTACTGACTTGGTATGTACAGTGCCTGGCGCATTGTAAATGGCGGCGATTGTTGTTAGCAACCAGTTACCTTTACCCCGTAGGTGTCTGACGTGATTAACGCCACACAGCTGCCCTGCGAGCTCACCTGAACCACTGTTAGAGAAAATGTGTGTAGGAGCCAGAAACCATGGGAGCTGGCCCCCTCTTCCGTGCGGAAAGACCCTTTAGAGCACTATTCAGATCTGTTTGGTCACCTTTCTCAGCTTAAACGTTTCCAAAGGTAGGAAGCTCTGCCGCCAGCTATAGGGAGTCTTCCACGCTCAGTGGACTCATGAAGCTACCTGTCAGCACTACACTTCATCTCCAAGTTTCCTTCCAACTCTGCCTTTAAGATTATACAACTTGAACAAATATGCGTCATCCCTCATCCATCACAAAACAACCACCCCACACAATATGTGGTGTGGTGCATAGTGTATGGGCGGCAGCTGAAAGATTAAATACACTCTGCTCCCATTTTACAGAAGAGGAGAAAGGGAGGTATCAAAAGACATAAAATCATGCTCTCTGGCTTGAGGTGCAGAATCCCATTCTGGAAACAGCCTTCTCTTAACTCAAGCTCTCTATCGTGGCCCTGTGGATCTGAGGCACCGAGTACATTTGATCTGACCCAAAACTGCTAAGCAGTGCCTGAAGCTGAAGTACACTGGAAAAAGCACTGGACTAGGAGTCAGGAGACCTGCATTTTGGTCGCAGCTCTGTCCTTATCTAATCAGGTAACCTCTAGTTCTACAGGAAGATCACTAGCCAGCTCTGACACTCATTTAGTCGTGACTACGAATCCTCAAGATCTCAGAAATACTATCTAATCTTCTTCCCTTGAGAGGAAAAGGGACAGAGCTGACCCAGGTCTACAACATCCATTGCCTTCAGTGCAGGGGTTAGAGGAAGAACGTCAAATCCTTTCTGAAAAAAAGATCACTTCACCAAATTCAGACAGTCTCAAAGCCTTGAAACCTGAGGCATGTATTAGGAGCTGTGTAGAACTAAGGAGACCAGAAGACCTGGAAGTGGACCCAGTAGAAGAGCAGTGGTTCAATTCTAGAGACAAGGGGCCAAGGAATAGTGCCCATCAAATATAACAGCTAAGAGAGGGGCTCAAAAGCCTGGGAGCATGGCTGATAGGAACAAACCTGGCCCCTCAGGCTGGTGCCCAAGGCCTTCTAATTCTGCCCCTACCCCTGCTTCTCCACTCTGTCACATCACCCCCAGCGCCCTATGCCCTTGTCACAGTTGAACTACTTGAAATTTCCAGAACTTGTCCTTACTCCATGCCCCTTTTTTAGCTGTGCCTCTGTCTGGAATGTTCTTTTCAGGCATCTGCCTAATTTCTCTGTGACATCCTTTAAACCCCATTTCAAGACGCACAACCTCCACAAGGTCTTCCTTAATCCTCATCCTTTCTCCCTCCCACAAGAAAAAAATTCCTTCCTGTGATTCCACAGCATTGTATCAGGGTTATAAATATAACCGCATTACCATTTATTTAATTATCAGTTCATCTCTCACAATAAACTTTGAGGTCCTCCGAGGCAGAAATCTTATTTTCATGTTAGTACCCAGGTGTCTAGCGCAAGGCCCTTCACGGGCATGTACTTTCCTTTGTTTTCCTGGGGATGGCCCGGGTGCCTACAGCACAAGGAGGACAACCATAGCTGGAAGACCAGAAACACCATGTTTTGCTGTGGAAGGCTCAAGAATGTTCCTCTTCAGAGAAAAATTCTGAAGAATACATTGTTTGTATTGAAGTAATCCCAGAGTCCTGCTCTGTTTCTAATTAACTCTGAAAAAGAGGAATGGGGTGGCCAGATTAAGGTAATATCCTTATTCAAAAACAAAGTTATTAAAAACAATAAAACTTAAATAGGCCGCAGAGGAGTTCACATTTCAGTAAAAAAGAGATCTCGATGGTTAACAGTGAACAAAGGCAATACATGGGAACACCCAAAACTTCCGAGAAATGACAGGAACTGATGCCGAGAGTTGGCCTGGGCATTTCGAGTTGTCTGTCTCTGCCTGAGCTTACCTGGACCAAATAATGCCTGTAATAAGGAGACATATGGGCCAGGCCTCAGAAAGTGCTGCCTGATTTAATGCGATTTGTTGTAATGAACTTCAAATTTTAAAGAGAAACTGAGTATGTGAGAAAATATTTAAATGAAAAAGAGTGAAGCCAAAGTGTAAAAAAAAAAATGCTCTTTCTTCTTGCGCTATTGTGATGGTTGATTTTATGTGTCAGTTTGACTGGGCTAAGGGATGCTCAGACCACTGATAAAACACTATTTCTGGATGTGTGTGTAAGAGTGTTCCTGGAGGGGATTAGCGTTTGAACCCGTGGCCTGAGTAAAGGAGACTGCCCTCATCAGTGCTAGTGGGCATTGTCCAGTTCATGGAGGTCTGAAAAGAACAAACAGGTGGGGGATGGGCAAGTTTGCTCTCTGCTTGAGCTGTGACATCCACCTTCTCCTGCCCAAGGACATCGGGCTCCCGCTTCGTCGGTCTTTGGATTTGGACTGGGGTTTCGTGAGCCTCCTGCTCTGTCCTTCTCTAACTAGGTAACCCCTGGTTGAACAGGAAGGTCACTAGTCAGCTCTGACTCTCATTCAGGGGTGACTACAAATCCGTAAGACCTGAACATGAAACCCAAGTCTCCCCTGGGCCTCCAGCCTGCAGATGGACTGCTCGGCCCCTACAATCTTGTGAGCCAGTTCCTCGGAATAAATCTACTTCTCATCTCTCTTTCTCCTATTGGTTCTGTTTCTCTAGAGAACCTTGACTAATACATAAAAACAATTTTAAAACTCACTTATGAATACACTAGATGTTTGATTAAATCAGTCAATGAGGAATTCATAGTATGTGAAAATATGTTTCCTTTAACTTACAGCTAAACTGAACTCACTTTTTGAAGCTTTACGCAGAACTATTGGAGGAAAAGAACAGACGGCCAGAACATAGAGAGCTTACCGTGTAGAAGTCTACTGGTGTAGAAGGTGTAGCTTTGGAGGGGTCCAAAGGGCAAAGTTCATGCATCCCAGCCATGGGCTCCGGTCACCTGAGCGGACAGGCCTCTGGACCCCTGGCTACAATGGTGCGGTGGGGAACAGGGGTGAGAAGGAAGGGAGCAGGTACAGACTCCATTCTCCCACAGCTCAGAACACCCCCTAGGGGAGGACTGGGCCCTCTCGCTGTGGCAGTAGATTCCTGACTCCTGTTGTGCTTCTGTGTGTACCCACCTCTTCCAAGTGGTCAAGGTTAACTTCAACTCCCACATCCTCCAACTGTCTCCATTGTCACCCGTGGACTTCCCTGGTGGGGACAGGCCTCTCCACCTGCCACATCGAGTCAGCCCTGGGCAGACAGGGAGGGCAGCTCCCAAGACACAAAAATAATGGCCTGGCCCAGCCTCCCAGCTGTGGTGGATTGCTAGAAGAGACCATCTTCCGATGGAAACCTCTTTTTCCTCTCTGGGCCCTCGGGCCCCAGTTCTCTTTGTGCCTCTTTGCCAGTGTCGGTGGGCAAAGAACGTAGGCCCGTGGGTGTGGCTGTGTGTGCATATGCACACGTGTGCACGTGCACTCTGGGTTAGCGAAAGCCTCACAGAATTCAACCTCACAGAAACCTCAGTCAGACTTTTTAAAGCTTGTACAAGAAAAGAACAAATCATGTCCAAAGGAACTAATGTCAAAAATTTGGTAGTATTTTAAAAATCAGACACAACTCCCAGCTCTAAGATCAATGCTTCTTAACGGTGAGCCAGAGGCAATGCAAACATCCCCATCAAAAATTATGAGCATCCTCACCTCTGGCCTGTAAGACAATTTAGGTTAGAAATAAAGGAAGTGGCTGGTCAATATAAACATTCTAATTATTCACAGTTAACAGAGTTATATGAGAATGGTTAAAGTGACAGAGCCCTGGGGAGGTAGGTCGGATGGACACGAACAGCTGTGAGTGTATCTAACTGTCTGTCTCATACTGTATCATATTGTTAAGCCAGTGCAATTGGGTTATTCTGTAGTAGCAGCCAAACTGATGCCTAACTGATGCACTGTTCCTCAGAGGACAAGGCATCTCATGACCAAGTTTACACAGATATAGGGATCAACTTGTAAGCCACCCTCAGTTCTACAGAGGAGCCATAGCAGTCAGAAGGCCAACTTTAAACGAACGATAATCAGAGAATGCACCCAAGTGACTGAGGTGAAAGCCGAATTGCAACCTCATTCATTCCTCTGTGCAGCATGGGTGGAGTTAACTCTGCAGGGCAGTAGCTTGCGAATATGGCAGAATGGAGATGAAGTGACTCTTTAAAGATGGGTGAGATTGGAGCAAATTTGAATGCTGAGAGGGAAGAGTTGGTGGGAAGACAGATTAAAGACAGGCGGTGATGAATTCAGGGAGGAAATCCTGGAGGAAGTGTGAGGGAATGGGATGGAGGAAGGGGCGTGTCTTTGAAAGACAAGGCAAGGATGGATTGAGATAACTTCACCACCCACCTCTGCCACCTGCTCCATATCCGTACTTCTGCTCTTGCTGCTTTGCTGTCATTATCCCATCAGCTCCAAGAC